GTCAAGGTAATAGTACATTCAAGCTTAAATTAAGGTATGGTGGCAGAATAGATCTAAGTAACCCACCTAAGTATGTGGGAGGTAGTGTGAAGTGGTTTTCTGACATGGACTATGATGAGTGGGGGATAATGACTTTATGGGAAAAAGTTGAACAATTGGGATATAAGAAAGATGAATGTAGGTGTTTTGGTCAGAGTGACAATGGATTGACTGAGTTAGTATTAGATTTGGAGGCTTGGAACTTGGTCAATTCTATTGTGAGACCTAAGGTACTAGAGATTTGGGTTATTGTTAGGGTGGATGGAGAAGATGAGAGTGCAGAAAATGAGAGTGCTGGTGGAGAAGATGAATGTGCTGCTGGAGAAGATGAGAGTGCTGGTGGAGAAGATGATAGTGCTGCTGGAGAAGATGAGAGTGCAGATGAAGAAAATGACAGTGTAGAAGATGAGTTAGAGAATTTTGAAGGAAGTGATTGTGAAATAGAGCAAGTTGATGATCAGGAGTTCTTGAAATATACAGATCCAGAAGTTGAGTATACAGGTGCTGCAAATGTTGAAGAGAGTCCACATTTAAGTATAGAACAGAGGCCTACAAACAATGAGTTGAATTTCTGTGATGATGGAGGGATTGTGAGTAATTTGGGTGAATCTGTTAGGCCTAATCCTCCCCCTGAGTTGCCATCTCCTCTGTGGCTTGGTAGAACTTTTTTATCTAAAGAGGATTTCAAAGAAGAAGTGAAGACATATGCTATACAGTTTGGAAAGGAGCTGAAGTTTAAGAAGAATGATAAGGTAAGGTGTATAGCTATATGTACCCAATCTGATTGTAAATGGCAAGTAACTTGTAGAAAAGATGTTGATGAAGACTTTTGGAGGGTGACAGTTTTGAATGATGTGCAGGCTAATTGTCCATGGGTTAGTGACAACAAGTTCATTACTTCGTCATTAGTTGCAAAGAGATGGAAAAAACAAATTGGTGGAAATAGTAATTGGAAGATGAGTGAATTTAGAGAGACAGTGTGTACTGATGAACATCATTCCCTAAGTATAAGGCAAGCCTACAAGGCATTGGATTTTGCTAGGCGTGATATAAAGGGTGATCTTGAAGACAATTTCAATAAAATTTGGAGTTATTGTTTAGAAATAGAAAAAACTAATCCAAAGACCACTTTCAAGGTAGAGGAATCTGATTTACAATATGAGGGAGGTAAGAAGAGATTCCTTAGAATGTATATGTGTTGGGATGCTTGTAAAGATGGTTTCAAGTACTGTAGGCCACTTATTGGGGTAGATGGTTGTCATATTAAGGATAAAGCTGGGGGGATGATGCTTACTGCCGTTGGTATTGATGGGAATGAGGGTTTATTCCCTATTGCCTATGCCATAGTTGAAGGGGAGAATAAAGATTCTTGGTACTGGTTTTTGAAACTATTGTGCACTGACCTTGAGATTGACAATGTGTCTCAACGGCAATACACCTTTATGTCCGACAAGCAAAAGGGGCTTATCCCTGCATTTGAGGAGGTGATACCTATGGTTAGTCATAGGTTTTGCGTTAGGCATTTGCATAGTAATATGAAGGTGGCTGGGTTTGGAGGTGTTCCCATTAGAGATGCCCTATGGAAGGCAGCTAGGGCCACAACTGTGAGTACTTTTTCAAAAGCTATGAGGGAGTTAAAGGCATTAGATGTTCAAGCTTTTCAATGGTTGATGCAGAAGCATCCTGCAGAGTGGTCTAGATCCCATTTCTCTACAAATGCTAATAGTGATATGCTCCTTTGTTCACTACTAAGGTTGGCAGACCAAGAAAACTGAGGAAGAAATCTGCAGGGGAAATAACCAAAGATGGAATTCATATATCAAGAAGGACTGTGACACTTCACTGCTCAACTTGCAAGCTTATAGGTCATAACACTAGGAAATGTCCTCAGGTAAATGTATACAATTACATTATGCCTTTTACAATGTCATTTTACAACATCACCATTTAAATCAATTTACTTATTTTGTTTGAACTAAGCAGAGAAGAAATAGGCCACCAGCACCTCCAGTGGATGTGGCAGCAGTAGCAGTAGATGATGCTCCTCCAGTGGATGTGCCACCAGCAGCAGAAGAAGATGCTCCTCTTGTGGATGTGGCAGCAGCAACAACAGATGGTGATTTTGCAATGAATTTCCAGCAGATGCTATTTCACGAACAAATCCATTTTGCAGATTTAGAATCACTTCCAACAGAACATACACAAGGTAACTAGTTGATCCTTTATTAAATTTGAAAATCTTAAATTGTAGTTGATCCTTGTTTAACTTGTGAAACTCCTATATTGTAGTTGATCCTTTATTAAGTGTAGGCATGGTTGCAGTAGGCGCTAGGCGCTAGTCGGGCGGCCGGGCAGCGCCTAGCGCCTAGGCGGTCTAGGCGGCGCCTAGGCGGATTCTAGGCGGCGCTAGGTGGGCACCAAAAAAATTAAAAAAAATAGTGACAGACTTGTAGTTTGACAATTTTAATGAGGTTGTTTTCAACGTTCACTCAAATAACACATCTAAATAAATGAAATAATGATAATTTATAAGTCATAATGTCATAATAATATTAAAATCAATAATTAATGAAAGACGACATCGGTCAAAATCGGTCAAAATAAGACAAAATCAGTCAAAAACGGTCAAAATCGGACGAAATCGGACGACTCGGCCGAGTTGGCCGAGTTGACCGACTCGGCCGATTTGGCCGAGTTTGGCCGCCCAGGCCGCCTAGCGGCCGGCCGAGTTTTTGTCGCCTTTAGGCCAAAACTCTAAGGCTCGGTGCCGCCTAGCGCCTAGGCTGCTAGGCGGCTGAGTTTTGCAACCTTGAGTGTAGGAGACAATATTCAAACAATTGTAGATGATGTAAATTCCCAAATGACAGGTAAATGTTTAATTTGTAATTGCGATTCATGGATTTCTTTACAAACTTGTTGATTATGTTGTTTACAAACTTGTAATGTAATGAACTGTAGGAATACAAAGTGAGGAAATGACAATTGCTTCCCATGGAGTGAACATAAGTTTTGGTCAACCTCCAAAACGAAGAAAAATCATAGCTCATTCTACCAAAGGCAAACAAGTTGTGCAATCTGCTCCTCCATCCAATTAAGGACTGCTCAGAAAAAAACCCAATTGATTTAGATAAGGGTGTCTATTAACTGTAGTTGGATGTTAAGTGTAGTTGGAAGCTTATTTTGCCAAGTCTATGTCTGTTAAGTGTAGTTGGAAGCTTATTTTGCCAAGTCTTTTGGAAACAATTATGATGTATGGATAACAGATTTATGCTATCTATGACTGTTTTGGAAGCTTATTTTGCCAAGTCTTTTTGAAACAATTATGATGTATGGATGACAGATTTATGCTATCAATATGACTGTTTTGGAAGCTTATTTTTCCAAGTCTTTAAGGGCAAATACAGGAAGTCAAAACTGCCTTGTGATGTTCATCAATAGCAACCAGTTCTAAAATAGCAGCCAGTTCTAAAATATAGCAGCCAGTTCATCAAAACTGCATTGTGATGTTCATCAAGCTGAAACTTTTTGTTATCAATTTGGTTGTCAGGTTCATGACAGATTTATGCTATCTTTGTTAACCAATTCTACATAAAGTTCACCAATTTTACACAATTTTAACAAACACTGTGTACATAAAGTGTACCAATTCTACACAATTGGCATCACCAGTTCAACAGTTCTTGTCACCAATTCTACCAATTCCATTCATTCTTTAAACTGAGCAAACCTTCATTCCAAACTGAGAAAACCTTCATTCCAAATTGAGAAAACCTTAAACTGAACATTCATATTGCATTTCAACAACTTTTTCAAATACTTCAAATTCTACATTTTCACTTTCAACCACCCTCAAGCTAAAAAAAAGCTTTCCAAACCCATCACTACTAGTCTTGAAATTGCTAACAAACACAAACATTGCTACAACAAGAAATAAAATTAACACAACTCTACACAAAGACTTCAATTTTAGTTTCACACTGGAATTAGGAGCCTTTAATGCCTGCAGTGTCTCTAATCTTAGCTTTTAGGACTTCAATTTCTTGCTCATCCCGTTTATTCTTCGTAGCAACCTGGAAATAATCACCTTGGATTTTGAACACATTGGAGGGTCAAACCATCTCACAAATCCACAGCCACCAATCCCCTCCAATCCCCTGTATACAATTTATCAGTATACCAATAAAAAAAAATAACAATTCCCATATACACAATTCACAGCCACCAACACCAATCCCCTGTATACAATTTATTAGTATACCAATTAAAAAAATAACAATTCCCATATACACAATTCAATTAATTTCCGCATGCACAATCCAAACAATTTCGAAAGAAAAAATAAAATAATAATAGAATCACTTACTTGATTATCATAGGAACAGTCCCAATACCTTCTTCCCGGGTTTACATCCGTCCACGATGTCCGTATCTTCAATCTTTGGCCACAGTGACAATAACATATGGATTTTGCATCGCTATAGCAAACCCTTGAACGACAATAGCTCTCCTCGCTGTTAGCATACGTACCTTGCATAGCTTCCAAGTGTTGTTGAATGCATTGATGCGTGAAGATATGTTGTAGCTTGAAGAGATTTTGTAGCTTGGATGTGTGAATGCGTGGGTAGGAGAAGATAATGGCGCCTCTAGGGTTATTCGGTTAATACCAGAGCATAAATGGCGCATGTTAATTGAAATTTCGAAATTACCCTCATTTTAACAGTAAGTTGACGACTGCCCGAGCAAAAGGACCAAATTGGTTAACGTTTTAATACTCAGAGGATTTAATTAGGTAAGAAATATAGTCGAGGATCAAATTGGTAATTTCACAATAGTCAGGGGACCAAATCGGTAATAAACTCTAAAAAAATATCACTATGAAATTGATTATTTTTACTTTTTATCAACTTTGTCTCTGAAAACTCTCTAGATGAGGATTTTTTTTATATAATATATTTAATTTAATATTTAATATAATAATAATAATAATGATGTAATAGAAGTAAAATTATATTAGGAAGTAATGATTTAATATAAAACTTTACCAATAAATGTGAACACAATAAATGCATTCATATTGCTTTGACCAATTATTTTTATTATTTTTATTATTACTATTACTATTATTATTATATTATTATTATTATTATATTATTATTATTATATTATAAATAACTATTAGACAAAGTTTAGGATTGTCAAAATTATAAAAAGGGTTTAATCTAAAAATAAAATAAGTGTCAATACAAGTTATGTCCTTGATTTTTGTCCATTTTTTATATGCTAATAAATATATACATTTTACTTTAATTGTTGTACATTTGATTTGTATTGGACAAAATCACCCTTACACCGTTATAACACCGTTAGTATTTAATATATCCACCAATCTTACCATACACCTACATCTATCATATCATTTTCCTATTTTTAGTTATCATTTTATTAAAATTATCATATAACAATTAATTTAATTATAAATTATATTTTAATTAAATATTTATATGAATATTAAATTATATATATATATATATATATATATATATATATATATATATTGTTTTGATCACTATATTCAAATATATGATAATTTAAAAGTATCATCACTTTAAAGAATTGCGAAACATAATTTTAACTAATTTTTTAAAAATTTTGTTACTTAATAATATTTAAATATTGGGCATAGGTTTTCGCACATCGCGCGTACAAAATGCTAGTAAGAATAATAAGTACTATTAAAGTAAGTACTTATTTTGTTTATTATTATTATTATTATTATTGATAAGTAATTATTATTAATTAATTAGTTTTAATTAATTTCCAATAAAATTATATTTATTTATTAGTTTTGCAACATATACATATACATATACATATACACACACACACACACACACACACACACACACACACACACACACACACACACATATATATATATATATATATATATTATTAGAGCGTAATAATATATTTAATTTAATATTCAATATAATAATAATGATGATGTAATAGAAGTAAAATAATATTAGAAAGTAATAATTTAATATAAAAATTTACCAATAAATGTAAACACAATAAATGTATTCATATTGCTAATCTCATTCGACCAATTATTATTATTATTATTATTATTATTATTATTATTATTATTATTATTATTATTATTATTATTATTAAATAATAAATAATTATTAGACAAAGTTTAGGATTGTCAGAATTATGAAGAGGTTTTGATAAGAATAATAAGTATTATTAAGGTAAGTACTTATTTTATTTATTATTATTATTATTAGTAAGTAATTATTATTATTAAATAATTATTAGACAAAGTTTAGAATTGTTAGAATTATGGAGAGTGTTTAATAAGAATAATAAGTATTATTAAGGTAAGTACTTATTTTGTTTATTATTGATATAATTTAATAAGAATAATTGGTATTATTAAGGTAAGTAATAATAATTTTCTTTCTATAAGAATAATTAGTATTATTAAGGAAAGTATTATTATTATTATTATTATTATTATTTTTATTTTTTTATTTGATTTTTTACATCTAACTTTTTTCCCTCCCTGAGACTAGGGTTTTTCTCCCTGCGACTAGGGTTTTGACGGTTTCTTGCGTAAGATCGGTCGAACATCGGCGACTTGTCTATGGATGTGCATGAAATCACTGCGTCGACTGCGGGGATGTGTCTGGAGGAGGAAGAACAGGGCGTGCGCTTTGAAGACGAAGGATATGCTGTCGCGATGCCTTTGCCGGAACGTCGTACATGGACGTTGGTTGGCCGTTTCCTTACGGACCGAATCATGAAAGTGGAGATGATGAAGCGAGTCATGGCCTCGGCATGGCGGCCACTAATGGGAATTGAAATAACGGACGTTATCCCGAACTTATATCTCTTTACATTCTTTGACGAGACAGACATGCGTCGGGTATTGGAGGAAGGTCCTTGGGCGTTTGAGAACGCGACGTTTCTTTGCCAGGTGTTGAATGACGGGGAAGATCCGACGCAAGTAGTGTTGAGCACTGTGGACTTCTGGCTGTAGGTTTATGATATTCCATTGGGATACCGGATTGTAAAGGTGCTTGAGCGGATCGGGGATTTTGCGGGGGTTTTTTTACGTTGTGATGAACGTAATTTTGAGAGGCCATGGACTTCGTTTTACCGGGTACGTATCACACATGATGTTTCGGTTCCTTTGAAACGACGTATGAAGATGATCATGTGGGATGGGACGTGGGTCTGGATAAATTTCAAGTACGAACGTTTGCATATGTTCTGCTTTTTTTGTGGTATAATGGGGCATACTGATAAATTCTGTTTAGCTGCTCGTCGTTCGTCATTGACACCGGATCAATATCTGTTTGGTGCGGCTATGAGAGCGGGTGGTAATAATCCGGCCAAGATATTGGGTGATAAGTGGTTTAAAATAGGGCAGGAGAGAAGGAAAGAAATCGGCTTTGGTGTTGGTGGGTACGGACACAATGCTGCTGTAGTGGGTGGGCCGAGAGGACGGGTGGCGGTGGGTAGAGTTGTGGGGGAAGGTGGAGACGGGCAGTTGGGGTTGGCGAGGGAGAAGGGGGTAGTTGGGGAGGAAGAGGGAGTTAGGGTGGATCCAAAGAGGCGTAGAATGGATGGTGAGGTTGGTGGTGGAGTGGAAGTGGGGGTGGACATTGAGCCAGACAGCTTATGTTTGGCGAATTCTGGGATTGAGGGTGGTAGGGGCACCGGGTGAGAGAGGGAGTGGTGATGGAAGAGGATATAGCAATGACCGATGTTCAAAAAAACTTGCAGATGGCGGGTGCTGCGGTGCAGACCCGCCCGACCCAATGAGTACATTGAGCTGGAACTGCCGTGGCTTGGGTAATCAACGGACAGTTCGGGAAATTGAGGACATAGTGTCCCGCAAGAAACCCGATTTTGTATTTCTGATGGAAACCAAGGTTAACCGAGATCATGCAGAGCGTCTTCGGATTAAGCTGGGTTTCGAAGGCCTTTTTAATGTGGATAACGCTGGGTTGAGTGGAGGACTGGCATTGTTGTGGAGAACGAATGATACTGCAAGAATAATGGGTTATTCTAATAATCATATAGATGTTGAGGTGAGTGTGCCAGGTTTTGATAAGTGGAGGATGACTGGTTTCTATGGCTTCTCGAAGCGTCCACAGAGAAGGGAGTCGTGGGATCTTATTCGGTCATTAGCAAGTAGGTCGGATCTGCCATGGGTAATCATTGGAGATTTTAATGATATCTTATACCAGTATGAGAAACGGGGAGGAAATCCCCATCCAGACAGCTTGCTACGGGGTTTTGGAGAAACTATTGAGGAGTGTGGTTTGACACAATTACCAATGTCTGGATATCCCTATACTTGGGAGAAAGGAAAGGGCACGCCAAACTGGATAGAGGAACGATTGGATAAGGTTTTGGCTACTCAAACCTGGAGAGAGTTGGTGGCTGATGCAAATGTGCAGAATATATTAACCCGGAAATCAGATCATTCCTTCCTTTTCCTTGGGATTCTCAATCTTCGGGGAAGGAGGGGTGTTCAGAGAAGGGGTTTTCGTTTTGAGATGGCATGGCTACATGATGAGGGGTGTAGGGAGGTGGTGGAGAAATCATGGGGCGAAGGAAGAAGTAGGGGGTTGCAGGAGTGTGTCACCCTATGTGGTGATCGGTTAACACGCTGGGATGGAGATCGATTCCATAAATTTGGTGAGAAAATTTTGAATTTACGTAAGGAACAGTTGCGCCTCAGGGGGTGTATGGATCCGGTATCCCTAGCCGAGTTTCGAAGACTAGATGAATGTTTGGCTCATGTTGAATTACAGGAGGATACGTACTGGAGACAGAGGGCCAAACAGCATTGGCTCAAGGATGCAGATTCAAACACCAAGTTTTACCACAGGTATGCTTCTCATCGAAAAAAAAAAGAATGCTATTACTAAAATTATGAATAGTGATGGGGATTGGATTGAGGGGGAATCCATGACAAATGTAATCTTGGATTATTATCGTGGTATTTTTAACTCGAGTTCTCCTACTATTGATGATGAGTTCTTTGGGAGTATACATCCACGTGTAACAGGCATGCAGAATGAGAGTTTATTGCGCCCTTTTGAAGAGAATGAGGTTAAATCTGCATTGTTTTCAATGTATCCTGATAAAGCACCAGGCCCGGATGGTATGAACCCGGGGTTTTATCAACACTTTTGGGATGTAGTGGGCACTGATGTTTCTTCTTATATTCTGAATTGTCTGAATACTTGTTCAATGCCTAATAAATTAAATGAAACGAACATTATTTTGATCCCCAAGAAGAAAACCCCGGAAATGGTTTCTGATTATAGGCCAATTGCCTTGAGTAATGTCGTTTACAGAGTTATGGCAAAGATAATTACAGCCAGGATGAAGCCACTAATGGAGAGTATTATATCTGAATCCCAGAGTGCATTTATATCTGGAAGGCTAATTATAGATAATATCTTGATAGCTGCGAAAGTTGGACATTATTTGAACAGGAAGCAATGTGGACTAACAGGTTGGGGGGCTTTAAAGCTAGATATGGCTAAAGCTTACGATCGTATGGAATGGTCTTTTTTGGAAAAGATGCTGAGGGCACTGGGATTTGATGAAAGATGGATAGAGTTATTGATGATGTGTGTAACCACTGTGTCTTACA